TAGACCCTACAATGCTTAAGCAGCATTCTGCTTTTCCAAGTGGACCAAACACCAAAACCAGACCTACCTGCAGCTTTCTAAGGACACCAGTTCCCTGCAGTTACATCTGCATAGTCTTGGATTTTTTTTTTTTTTTTTTTTTTAAAGCAGAATCTTGAAAATCAGAACAAAACCCTAGAATCAGCCAGGTACAGTGGCTCAAGCCTGTAATCACAGCACTTTGGGAGGCCGAGGTGGGAGGATTACTTAAGGCCAGCAGTTCAAGACCAGTCTGAGAAATATACTAAGACTCTGTCTCTACCAAAAAAAAAAAAAAAGTTTAAAAAATAATTAGCCGAGCATGGTGGCACTCACCTGTAGTCCTAGGTACTTGGGAGCCTGAGGTGGGAGGATCACTTGAGCCCAGGAATTCGAGGCTACAGTGAGCTAAAAAGGTGCCACTGCACTGCAGCCTGGGCAACAGAGCAAAGCCCTGCCTCTAATATATATATAAAAACAAAATTTAATTTTAAAAGTCTAGAATACTGAATCTATCCAAGTCACCCAGCAAGGTGGTAACAGATTTAGGGTTAGAACTAGCTCCAAACTCAATGCTTTGCACCCTGAGTTCTATATACCCACCCTACCTCCACTACCAGGGCAGGAGCTCAGTGTCCGAGGTACAAAGTTCAATCTGCCAAGAGCAGTGCTTCCAAACTTTTTTGAGTGTAGTTAATTTGTAATTGGTGAAGTAGGGTGGGTAAGAGAGCAAGAGATCCCTGGATCCACCTATTCCAACTTTCCAGGATTAAAAACAAAACAAAACAAAACTCAGTGTTATCAACTAAGGGCTAACCTAAAGCAAATGTAGGAGGACTCTTATATATCTGTTCTAGCAGTAGGAGCGTGGCTGCTTCCTATTTGAACCATAATAACTTGCTTTGTGCCCGGCAGGCAGCAGGCATGGTACTAAACCCATTCACTGCCTTATCTTTTCTTGTGTATATAGTTCCATGATTAGTCCCACTTTACAGATAAAAAAAAAAAAAAAAAACAGGTTCAGAGAGACTTAAGATTTACCCAAAATTACAAGGTCCATAAGGGACAGACTGGGGACTTATCTCCAAATGCTCTATGCTCTTAACAACTGTGTTGTGCTTCCTCAAAAACAAACAGCTGTATCTACCTGCCTTAAAGCCTAGTAATTAGAAATGTATCCCTTTCACTGCTGTTTGCCTGGTACATTTATCATGTCTTTTAAAAAATTAATATAATAAAAACAAACATGAGGTATTCTGTATGTTTAGATATGGAGAGATACTTTTTTTTTTTTGAGATGGAGTCTTGCTCTGTCCCCAAGGCTGGAGTTCAGAGGCGCCATCACGGCTCACTGCAAGCTCTGCCTCCTGGGTTCACGGCCATTCTCCTGCCTCAGCCTCCCGAGTAGCTGGGACTACAGGTGCCCACCACCGTGCCTGGCTAACTTTTTGTATTTTTAGTAGAGATGAGATTTCACTATGTTAGCCAGGATGGTCTCAATCTCCTGACCTCGTGATCCGCCCACCTCGGTCTTCCAAAGTGCTGGGATTACAGGCGTGAGCCACCGCGCCCGGCCAAGATACATTATTAAGGCCAAAAATAATGCCATGGTGGATTATGTATAATCTCCTATTGTACTGAAAAGTACACATGAACTTCTGGAAGGATATACAATGCATAGTTGATCAGTTGGAAGTGGGCTTGGGGAGGCCATAGGCAGGGAGCACCCTTATACCGTTGACTTCTCCACTTCATAAGCAATTATTACTTGTATGTGTGTGTGTGTGTGTGTATGTATATATATATATATATTTTTTTTTTTTTTTGAGATGGAGCTTCGCTCTTGTTGCCCAGGCTAGAGTGTAATGGCACGATCTTCGCTCACTGCAACCTCTGCCTCCCGAGTTCAAGCGATTCTACTGCATCAGCCTCCCCACTTGCTGAGAGTACAGGCATGCACCACCATGCCCAGCTAATTTTGTGTTTTTAGTACAGACAGGGTTTCTCCAGTTGGTCAGGCTGGTCTCGAACTCCCGACTTCATGTGATCTGCCCCGCCTCAGCCTCCCAAAGTGCTGGGATTACAGGCATGAGCCACCATGCCTGGCCTACTTGTATAATTTTTTTTTAAGTTGAACAATATATTGTAAATGTAAATATACATCATTTCACAGCATAGTTAACTAAAAACCCACCACAGAGTACACTGATCCAAGACTAGCAGCAATTTAATTCCCTGTTCACACTCAAGCCAAGACCCATGGCAGTGAGACTGTGAAAGCAAGAGAGAAGCAGTGCAGGCATTGAAGTCAGACTGATCAGGATTCAAATCCCCATTCCCACCATTTACTGGCTTTATGAGTTAAGGTGTATTGTTTAACCTCTGAACCTCAGTTTCCTAACCTGCAAAATGGGAGGATAACACTGCCTTACAACTGTGTTAAGGCAGTGATAAGGATAAGAGAGCTAATGCGTGTCAAGCAGTTTGTACGGAATGTGGCAGGTAGCGAGCAGTCACTAGGGCTGGTAGCCATTTTTAGGCACTGATAACAGAACATTCTTCCTCCATTACAGGAATTCCAACTATGCTCATGGTTGGGTGTTAGGAAATGTAAGATTACCCAGGGTCAAGGGACAATCAGTCTTCTGAGTAGTAAAAAAGTGCTAATGGCCTTTTAATTTTTCAGTCTGTGTGTCACCCATGAGGCTTCCAGGATCTGTAGCTATTCCTCAGTAATTATTTGCTATTTGACTTGAGGAGAAAGTTTTATGCCTGTGAACCTTTGAGGGTGGGGTGAGTTTGCGAAATAGATGGTCCAAACTTTAGTTTCATTCCTACCCATCCCCTGCCTCCAACTCCCTGCCAGGACATTTAGAAGCTTAGAAAGTTTGATCAATCGCAGGAATTTTTACAGGTCAGTTTACCTGAGGTGGAGTTGGAACTGCTGTGAGCTCACAATTCCTTAACCCAAATTCTGAAATCCAAAACACTCTGAAACCAAAAGGTTTTTTGTAAGCCTAAAGAGAACTCATTCAGAGGAAGACCCTGACCTGAACCACCATAAGATTATTTAATATCTTTATTGATCACCCTCAGGATAACTAGTCATACATTTTACTGAAGAGATATTGATGTGGTTGGTTATGTGGTGCTGCCTCAGACCTCACTAAGGATTTTGTATAACATACGGTAGGTGCACCATCTTTCCTTGTTAAAATCTGAAAAAATCTGAATTCTGAAAAACATCTGGCACCAAGGGTTTCAGAATATAGTCTGACTGTGAACCTATATTTCTAGATAGGACTTCAGGTTTGCCTCGTCCACATCCCAGCTTCTTTCTATCATTCATCACAGGGTCATCTGCGGCGGCAGAAGAACCTGGTTAAAGACTCAGAGGTTTGGGGGCCCTATAGGGCTGTCAGCACCATGGATAGCAAAACAGCCCCTGAGCGGCTGCCAAACAAATTTGCTGACATCTTGGACTCAGTTTTTCCTGCTTAAGAGAGATTGACACAATGAAGCTTGCCTGAGAAATGCGACCAATTGTTTTCTAATAGTAAAACACAAGGTATAGGGGTGGGAGTGGGGGGATAGTCGATGTGGTCCAGGCAGAGGAAATAAATGTGTTTCTTATCTTTTTCCTCCAGCTGGTTCCAGGCTCTTCTCCTCTGACATTATTAAAAGCCTGGCAGGTACTTTGAATGTTTGTTTCCATCAAGTTTCCTTGCCATTCTAATCTGCAAATACTCTTAGCTAGTTTCCTTTCTTGCATATTCTGTGTTGTCTAGTCACTGAATTTTCCCAGCCTCACCTGCCTGGCAACCAGGTACATGAGTAAGACCTTGTTAGAAGTGGACAGCAAGTTTCTGCTGGACTTCTTCTAGCCCTGGTCAGTCTAACAAAAGAGATGTGAAGTAAGCCACAAGTCCCCACTGTTGTTCATGATCAATTTATCATTAGGTACTTGAGGAGGAAAACAGGGGCTACATTGAGGTGGTTTCCTTTACTACTAAGTGAAGTCATGCCTTGCCTCAATGAATTGAGTCCTCTGTCACTGAAATCCATGCTTCAAACAGCAAGAATGAGGTCCCAGGACATCAGAGCTGCAAGGGGCTTAGAGCTTATATACTGGAGGCAGTAGAGGCAGAATGGTTGCTTTTCTTTATTCAGCAAATATCTATTACATGTTTACTTATGTCACGCATAAGCTAGGTACAAGGGATAGAAATAGAGGCCCAACCTCCTCCCGGAAACTCAGTCGAAGGAGAGACAAGTAAGATGTAAAAGTACAATGCTCTGAGCGCTGTGGGAGGGAAAATACAAGCTATTACAGGAAACCAGAAAGGGGGCATCCAGCCCAGGTGGAAGAGTCTGGGAGAAGACACCAAGGAGGAAGCCCCTGAGCTGAGCTTTTTTTTTTCCGGAGTATGGCTCTTGTTTCCCAAGCTGAAATGCAATGGTGCGATCTCGGCTCTGCAACCTCCGCCTCCCTGATTCAAGCGATTTTCTTGCCCCAGCCTACCAAGTAGCTGGGATTACAGGCGTGCGCCACCACGCCCGACTAATTTTTTGTATTTTTAGTAGAAACAGGGTTTCACTGTGTTGGCCAGGCTGGTCTTGAATGCCTGACCTCAGATGATCCGCCTGCCTCAGCCTCCTAAAGTGCTGGGATTACAGGTGTGAGCAACTGTGTCTGGCCGAGCTGAGCTTTTAATGATGGGTGGGTTGGCTAGATGTGATGGCTTACATCTGTAATCCCAGCACTTTGGGAGGCTGAGGCAGGAGGATCACTTGAAGCCAGGAGTTCGAGACCAGCCTGGGAAACAAAATGAGACCCTGTCCCTACAAAAAATAAATAATAAATAAATAAATTAGCCAAGTATGGTGGCATGCACCTATAATTTCAGCACTTTGGGAGGCTAAGGCAGGAGGATTGCTTGAGCCCAGGAGGTCAAGGTTGCAGTGAGCTATGATCACGCCTCTGCACTCCAGCCTGGGTGACAGAACAAGACACCATCTCTATTAAAAAAAAAAAAAAAGAGTGCGGTAAGGGATTTCAAAGAAGCAGTATGGTACATGCAAAGGGAATACACTGTGGAGAACCCAGACTTGTTATCTCTTTGTACATGTAGGTATGTGTCCTTATTCCACAGCTAAAATCATCCTGTCTTTGCTAACCAGAGCAATATCTCATATCTCTTTGTATCCCCAGAACCTACGCTGTTTTCTATATATAGTAAATGCTTTCTCAATGGTTCTCAGTGATAATGGGTTTGAGGCCTCACACTATCAAAACTGTAGCCAAGTAGAGGATTTTAAAGCAGAAACCAGAAAATTATGATAAAAACTTGGACACACTCACTATATGCCTCTAACACTTGCTGTGCTGCACCAAGAAAAAACTTTGACCCGAAGTCTCCAGCAAACTGCAGAAATCAAAACTGCTCCTCACTTTCCATGACTGAAAGTTCCTCTGGAGAGTGTGTGGCCTCGCAAAAAGCCCCCCATACATGTTCCCAAGAAGATGTAGTGTGAGCCCCAGTTCCAGGAGTCGTCAGCTCAGTGATGCTGGGAGAATATTCCATGAGCTGTCTGAGCTGCTGATTTTCTACCTACAAAAATAGAACTTATTACTGGGTTACCTATCCCAATGCATATTATGAAGGTAAAAAGAGTAGTCAGATTCACACCAAGCACTTTGAAAACACAAAACATCACTCCTATCAGAAGCTATCATTCTACTGGGTAAGGAATCACAAAGCCCAGACTCCCCTCCAACCAGCTGTTGGCCCTGGCCAACTCTTCTCTGTGGGCCTCATTTCTTTCTCTGTGGTTGAATTCTACAGATGATTCCTGAAGATCTTACATTGTTCCATGATTTGGTTTGCAAACTGGAAGCTTTAAGCAGCCTTTGTACACTGTGCTCTGAAACAGCTGAGCTTTAATCCTCTGTTTATGTCCTAATGCTTGTCCATTGGTACCAAAACTCCCAGTATTGGCTGATTGGATTGAAGCAGGGATAGGCCTCGTTGTCCCTCGAACACTGTAATGGCTACAGTCCAAAGAGGCACTCTTGACTGGAGCCTTGAGGATGGTGGGGAAGGCCAGGCAGGGAGAGAGATTCAAGTTGCAAACCCAGGAAAAGGCTTCCCCTAGATTTTCAGCATTTAACTGAAGAAAATGGTTTCTGTAACATTGGAGAAAAACGTTGCAGCTTAGCAGAGTGAAATGAATTATATCCCTTACCAGTTTGCTGTGTCGACTTTCTCTCTCTCTCTCTCTCTCTCTCTCTCTCTCTCTCATCTGCCCTCTCTTTATCATGCCTCATCACTCATTCACTTTCCCCTCCCAGTTTCCTGACCCTTCTGGATGTTCCAGGTTTCCTTGATCTCTTCCCCTTTCCTCCCCAAGTCATCTCCTCTGCCACCTCTTTCTCCCCTGCCATTGTGTTGCCCACTCCCTGCATCCTCCCTGCTGCTTTTTATTTGCCTTCCTTTTTTCTGTGAGGATCACTAGGGCTGTAAGGAGAACATAATCCTTTAGAAATGTGACCTCATTTACTATTATTCTTCCACCGAGGCAGGCCGGGGTAGAGGTCACTCCCCAATCCCACCACTGTTCCTGCTGGGAATAAAGATTTTGAGAGAGAGGATGAGTCTTCAAAGGGTATCCAATGCAGCAATCATTCACTCAGTGGATATTTATTTTTATTTAAGCTTTAAAATAATTTTAAGGTAGTGCATGTATATTGCAGACAGTTAGAAAATACAAAAGCAGAATAAAGTGGAATGTTTAAATGAACCATAGTTATCTCCATCAAGGGACAACCCTTAATAGCATTTTGTTTTAATTCCTCCTAAGATTTTTATGGGCTCTTTGGCATACTTGCCGTTATATTACATGTGCAATTTTGTAACCTGCTTTTTTCTACTTCATTTTATAACATAAGCATTTCTCCCATGATATTGCAAACTCTTAAAATATCATTTAAATTTGTTTACCCATTGCCCTATTTTTTGGACATTTATATATGTTCCAATTTTTCTGTAATGAAAATTAATACTGTGATGGCTAGTTTTGTATGCAAAGCTTACACAGTTAGTATGGTATTAAGGTTAAGAGTGAGGCCTTGGCCGGGCGCGGTGGCTCAAGCCTGTAATCCCAGCACTTTGGGAGGCCGAGACGGGTGGATCACGAGGTCAGGAGATCGAGACCATCCTGGCTAACACAGTGAAACCCCGTCTCTACTAAAAAATACAAAAAATAGCCGGGCGAAGTGGCGGGCGCCTGTAGTCCCTGTGACTCGGGAGGCTGAGGCAGGAGAATGGCGCAAACCTGGGAGGCGGAGCTTGCAGTGAGCTGAGATCCGGCCACTGCACTCCAGCCTGGGCGACAGCGTGAGACTCCGTCTCAAAAAAAAAAAAAAAAAAAAAAAAAAAAAAAAAAAAAAAAGAGTGAGGCCTTGAAGCCAGACTGCCTGGGTTGGAATCTGGGCTCTGTCCTTACAAGCCATTGGGTAAATTATATGTCCCAGTTTTCACATCTGCATAATAGTGATGATAATAATACCTACCTTGTGGGGTTCTTAGAATTAAATCAGATTGCCAGGCATGGTGGCTCACGCCTGTAATCCCAGCATTTTGAAAGGCCAAGGTGGGCAGATCACCTGAGTTCAGGAGTTCAAGACCGCCCTGGGCAACATGGTGAAACCCCGTCTCTACTAAAATACAAAAATTAGCCAGGCATAGTGGGTGCGTGCCTATAATCTCAGCTACTTGAGAGGCTGAGGCATGAGAATCACTTGAGCCCGGGAGACGGAGGTTGCAGCGGGCCAAGATTGCACAACTGCACTCCAGCCTGGGTGACAGAGCAACTCTGTCTCAAAAAAAAAAAAAAAAGGAATTAAATCAGATTATTTATCTAAACCAGTGCCTGGCATGTAGTAGTTACTCAAAAATTGTTACCTATTAATATTGCCTTAGGATGGTTTCCCAGTAGTGAACTTACTCTGTCCCTTGATACATGGTACCAAATTGCCTTCCAAAAAAGAGCAAACATGTATTGACAAACCTACCATGATGTGAACCTAGGTGTGCCTGATGAAAAGAATCCTGCTCATTCCACCAGCCTGCCACAGCATCTCCTCAGGCAGGGGTTAGAGATCACTGCAATGATTGTTCTCCTAGCACCAAAGAAATGAAGTATTGTTAAGACAAAATGAAACAGTGTATATAGCATCCGCACAAGACCTGGCATCTGTTACATTATTTAAGAATCAGTACAAATTATATTTTATAGTAAATGTTCACATCATAGATTTAATAGATAATTCATTGAGATAGTACACTTTTTAAAACTCCTAACACAGTTCCTGGCACATGGCTCACTGCAACCTCCACCTCCTGGCTTCAAGCAATTCTCCTGCCTCAACCTCCTGAGTAGCTGGGACTACAGGCATGCCACCAAGCCCAGCTAACTTTTGTATTTTTAGTAGAATCAGGATTTCACCATGTTGGCCAGGCTGGTCTCGAACTCCTGACCTCAAGCAATCCACCTGCCTTGGCCTCCCAAAGTGCTGGGATTACAGGCATGAGCCACCTCACCGAGCCTTCTCCTTCTATCTCCACTGTACCTCCCTCTCAATAGCTCTCCAGTGCCCAACCTGGCTCAGTGTGCCTTCACTACTCTAGTTAACATTCTCATTGACACGGCAGAGCCCTGCCATCACAGTATAGTTAGGGCCCACAGTTTGTGCTGGAATAACAGGCTTGGGAGCCAGAGGGAGAGGATTATATACCAGAGTGTGGAGGAGAGATGGGATGAAGGCTTCAGTGAAACCAAGTATGTGCTTGCTATAATGTACAGCCTTACATGTGTGCCCCAAGCACTGCTTGCTGCTGGGATCATGGGCGACCAGGGATCAAGAAGCTGATATCAAGAAACTGATAACTGCAAGTAGCATGGCCTCACTGGCTTTTCCCTTCTTCTCCCTCTCTCTCTCTCTCTCTCTCACACACACACACACACACACACACATCTTCCAAGGCACAAGAAGAGGAGAGTCCTTGGGAGTGGGTGTTCTGGCAAAAGGGAAACAGTAGCCTGAGTGTCTCCCCTTCTCCCTGGACATTTTTTCACTTTCCCCTCTGCTTGCAGACCCTGCTAGCCCCCAGGGTGATGCTCCCAGTGCTCCTCCCTCCCTCACCTATTCATTCTTGGGTTCCCTTAACCCAGTTGAATTAGGCTGCAATCTTCAAAAGGAACATCAGAAAAATTAAGATAAAACAAAAGAGAAAAGAACAGAACATAACGAAAGGCTCAGCCTTTGAGTTCAGCAAGTCCACGTTCCTGATCTAGCAGAGAATTTGGGGCCTTGCATGCTCACATTCCACCTGAGCAGGGGTGCATGTCCAGAGACTCTCTGTACATTTTGAAGTTATTTCCTCTTGTTTCTCTTTCTGCTCCCTCATTAAATGTCACAATTCCTTGGACAATGATGCAGATGAGTAAGGTTGCTGGGGCAGAGAGTGGGGGAAAAAAATCAGCTTTGGCATCACACAGACCTGGCTTCAAATCTTGCCCACTCATTTGCTGAGTGTATGAATCTAGTATATTAATTTAACTTCCATGAGCCTTGATTAAAAACAACCTTACTGAATTATTTTGAGGATTAAAAGATAAAACTGCTAATACAGAGTAGGAACTCAAAACGGACTCTCTTTCATGTCCTAGACCGAAGAGTATAACAAGTTCTCCAACTTCTCCAGGGATGTTTTCTTAGTACCAATAACCTTTTGCCTTCCAGTGCCCTGCCTCCCCAGGCCCTCAGGAAGGCACAAGGAAAGTTCTTTCCTTTACACAGAGGGAGAAAGGCTCACTTTCCTAGCTCAGAAAGCCATTCTTGGGGCAAACACACCCTACCTTACATAAACACACACACACACACAAATACACACATGCACAAAGATGGGAGCAGTCCTGGGTCCTGGTCTCAGCTCTTTAAAGGGCTCCAGTCGAGGATTTATAGGAGCTTGAGTCCACTCTGCATTGTCCCAGTTCAGGGTGAAGGCAAAGAAGGCCTCCTTCTGCAGCTCCCCCAGGCCCATAACACTGACTCTGGCTTCAAGGGCGGGAGGAAGGCAGGATTATGCATCAGTTTCATTTTTTCTTTTGGCTTGTTATTGATCCCTGACTATTTTTTCCAAGTTGGAAGTTACTTAGCTTCTCCGGTTACTTAGCTTCTAGTTTTCCTCATCTGTAAACTGGGAATTATACATGTTTATAAGAATGAAATGAGATAATGGCAAAGCAGATGCCTCAAAAATTGTTGTGTGTTGAGCCATGATTGCAACACTGCACTCTAGCCTGGGTGATGTAGTAAGACCCTGTCTCAAAAAAAAAATTGTAGTGTGCAAGCAAATATAAAGAATGCTAGGCCGGGCACAGTGGCTTATGCCTGCAATCCCAACATTTTGGGAGGCCGAGGCGGGTGGATCACCTGAGGTCAGGAGTTCAAGGCCAGCCTGGCCAACATGGTGAACCCCATCTCTACTAAAAATACAAAAATTAGCTGGGTATGGTAGCACATGCCTGTAATCCCAGCTACTTGGGAGGCTCAGGCAGGAGAATCACTTGAACCTGGGAGGTGGAGGTTGTAGTAAGCCAAGATCATGCCATTGCACCCTAGCCTGGGTGACAGAGTGAGACTCTGTCTCAAAAAAAAAAAAAAGTGTATTCTTCCGCTCATTTTCATTTTGTCACCATATCAGGTGAAAGAACCCTGCCATCTGCTTGCCACTATTGATAAGCCCCACCCTGGCAGCCCCAACCTCTCACACATATACGCTCACTCATCCTTGCTCCAGCAAAGTGGGAAAGTGCAAGAGTGCAGGTTTCTCTGCCAGGGTGCAAATGCTCACATGCCCCGAGCAGCCTGTGGATGCCAGAGTTAGCGCTGGAGTTTAGAGCTGTGCAGTCTGCGGCGGCTGGGTTCCTCCATTTTATGCTCTGGTTCTGCCTCTCAAATCTGCAGTAACTCACCCACTCTGCTCCCCAGGCTTGAGTGAGTGTGTGCCTGGCAGGAAAGCAGGGACTCGGGCGGGACTGGTGCTAAGAACTCTCCTCATCTTCTTTCCTGGGCATGAATCAGTGTGTTTCTAGAGAAATGGCTTCATCTTCAGTTTTGCAGTCTCCTATGGAGAGAAGAAGTGAGCGGCTGTGGTAATGTACTTCCAAAGCCCCCCAAATGAGAAGTTTAAAAGACAGATGACTCTAGACTTCATTGCTGGGGGTCTGCCTCAAACCGAAGGGTCTGACTCAGAAGTAATGAGGGGCTCCAGGGTTCTCTGTTGCATTAAGAGTCAAAAATTTGTTCCCACTATTTGCTTACAGCCACATATGCACCCTTCCTTGGAACTGTGTCATTCTGGAGCCATATCCATGAGTGCAGGATTTGGCTGATAGGCAGTCCAAAGGCCCACCTGTCCCTGTCCTCTGTCAGACAATCCCTCCTTTAGCCAGGGCTTTGTGGGTCACAGCCATATGGCCTTGGCCATGAGCTCAACTCCGAGGTAGAGGGCTCACTAGGCCAGGGGTGGGGTTGTCTGTCCTCTTAAGGGAAGCATCTCTTCCAATGTGTGGCCTATTGGAGTAGTAGTGGGACAGATCTCTCTATGCTTGGTGCTGATTTACATTCCCTAGGGAACACTTGTAAGACAATCAACCACTTGTAAAAAGAACTGAGAGTTTATGCATGAAAAAGCTTGCCAAGGGAAGTCCCCAGGTGGGACGAGATTAGCAGCTGGAGCTGACTCCAACTAAAACAGAACCCTCTAGGGCTGGATTTCACTTAAGGAATGTCAGAGAGGTGGGAGGGGAAGAGGACAAGAGGGTACCCCCTCCCAGGTTTTCAGCCAGTGCCTACTCTGTCCCTTACCTGTGGGCCTCACCCTGGTCCCAGCGAGGATGCCTGCTGCCTCCAGGTGAGCTTCCAGGGCTGCTCTGCCCCAGTCAGCTCACCTGGCCCAAGCCTGGGCCTTTCCCTTTTCCATTCAGATAATCAAGATAAGATGAGAGGAGCCTTTCTGGCTTAAGAAAATTTTCTAGGAACCAAAGGGGAAATACAATTAAAAGAAAAAAAAAGAGAGAGTGCCTAGAAACTGAGGGGCTCAGCAGCATTACCCAGGGTAAGCAGTTTGCTCCCCTCCTGATGCCCTTTAGTAAATAACATTAGCCTCCCAGCAACAGGAGCCCCCAGCGTTATCCTTGAGGCCTTGCTCCCTTCCCTACAACCAATCTCTCCTCTTTGTTTTCACCCAGAAGTGTCTTAAATCCCTTCCCTGCTCCCATCCTGTTGACTCTGCCTTGCTCAAGTTCTCACCACCTCTTTCCTGGGCTCGGTAGAGCTTCCTCATCAGTCCTTCAGGCTCATCTGTTCACTCCGGCCTTCCTACCAACAATCCCCTCCTCCCATGGCCTGCCTGGTGACTGTCTCATCCTTTAATAAAACTCAGACCTTCTCCAGGAAGCCTCCTGGGACTTCACCAGGCAGAGGGAGTTGTTTTCTTCTCTGGCACTCTTCACTTACTCCGTGACAGCATTTATCACAATGTGTTGGAATTGCTGGTCAACATGTCTATCGACCGCATCCCCTTCTCTGCAGCTCCTTCAAAGGCCTGCACAATGGTTTATACTTTCCATTCTTGGTTTCTAACAGAGGGGTTGATTTTCATTACATGACAGGAAATGCTTGATGGAAAAAGGAAGGGAGGGATAAAGAGAGGGAATGGAAAAAGAATGGAAACTTTGCATGGTTATAGATTCTTCAGTCCCTAAGCCACCCTTATACCTTGTGAGAGGTAAAGGTTAGTTTCCTGAGAAGAAATTCTTATCACTGCATTACCCACTATTCTCTGTCACAAGCATCATACATTGCTGATTGCACTTATAGTTTCTTCAAAGCTACTGAATTATAAGAATGCAAAGGCCCAGGAAGATTAGGCGACTGCCTAAGGTCGCACAGCCAATTAATGACAAAGGCAAGACTAGAACCTGGGTCTCCTGGCACCAGGCCCGGGCCCTTGATACAACACCAACAGCCTCTCTTTGAGTTTTCCCTCCAGGCAGCAGCATATAATTATCAACATTAGTATTTAGAATTTATATGCGGCTTTTGCTTCACTGGCTTTTTTATTATCCTTTCAATTAGTATTTCAGTATGCAGCCGAGGCATGGAGCAAAGCCAGGGTAGGGAGGGGAGTAGCACAGGGAGGCCAAGGCCAAGTAGGGGGCCATGAGTCCCTGTGAGAGGAAGGCCAGAGAAACCAAAGGTGCAGGAGGGTGGCCGACATCAGAGACAATGTCTTGTGTGTGTGTGTGTGTGTGTGTGTGTCTGTGTGTGTCTATGAGTGTCTGTGTTGTGTGTGCGTCTGTATGTCTGTGTTTTAAGGAGGAGGGTGTCTGTGAAGACGATGTATGGGCCTCAGATGAGTGATCCAAGAGCCTCAATAGCCTCAGGGGGCTTATCACTGCATTATCCACTAATAGGGCAGAGACAGGAAGAACAATAATATATTTAGCACCCAACAAGTTAAACACCAATACCAGCCCTGAGACAGACCCCAGGATATGGGAGTTCTCTGTCCTGCCTTGAAGGGAAGAAGACCCAAGCCCCATGATGTGGACCTGCTCCTGGCTCCTACTGTGCACTCTAGGAGCTATGCTGAACTGTGCCAGATGCCCATATCCTGTGGGAGTGAGGGAGTGCTGGAGCCCACCATGCCATGTGCTATAGCATCCTCAGCTGGATGCTAGGAGACTGTGGATGCTAGTGGAATCCCACTGCCAGACCCTGGTTCCTTGTGTCTTCCAGCCCCAGCTGCAGCCTGCTCTGGGGTTTACTTTGCAAACCTACACTTACCTTCAGAAAATGAGAATACTCTCTCCTCGTGACCTCCTGGGACTTTGGTGAGACTCAAGACCTTGTGAAGGCACTCGAAGAATAGGTTCATCCACTAGTAACACTCAAGATAGGGCATCCCCATGCAAAAAAAAAATAAAAAAGGAAACTGAGGTGGAGGTGGATAAAGAGCAGCACAGGGTGGAGACAAAGCAGCCAAAAGGCCTGCATTCGGATCTCAGGGCTCTTGCTGGGAAAACTCAGGGGGACGCTCACTCACTGCGGGCCTATTGAGTGCCAATGTGTCACATATGTCATCTCATTTTGTCCTCATATGACCCCTCACTTTGTCCATGAGAAACCTGCGGCTTTAAGAGGTTAGGTAACTTGCTCGAGGTTATACAGCAAGTGGGACCCTAGGACCAAAACTTAGGTCCATGAGCTTTAAAACCTGTGCCCTTCCCAGCACAGCACTGAATTTCCCAATCATGAGATTTCATCCCTGTGAGCCCAGCGTCCTCGTCTGCAAAATTGGGGGGGGGAGGGGGAGGGGAAGGGAGAGGGGACTATATTGCCTCATAGAGTCGTTAAGAAAATTAAACGAGCTTATGTTGATTAAACACATTATCGGGCTTGGTGTCTGGTATATAGTAGGTGCTCAATAAATGCTTTCTGTTTGTTTTTCTTTTTAGGGCAGATCAATGTTAAAAACTCAGGGCTGGCTTGGTAGCCCAGGAGCTCCAAAATGCTTCAAGAAGCCCAAGGGCCTGCCATCGCTCTGGGGTGCGCGGGAGGAGGGGAGAGAAGGGCTGGGAAAGAGGGCTCGGCTCCAGGAAGCGGGTACGCGGCTTCCAGCTGCGCGCCCCTCGCTTCGCCGCCTCCTTTAGGCTCTCCGACTTCCCGCCCCGCCCCGCCCCGGAGCCGGGTCCGGAGTGCATGGTGGGCTGATTCCGGAGCGTGGAAGGGAGCACGGAGCACGGAAGCGACAGGGAGGCGGCGGCGGCAGCGGGAGGCGGGGAGGAGGGGGACCCTCCTCGCTGCTCTCCCAAGTCGGCGCGGAGCCGCCTCGGGCCGGGCCGAGGGCTGCGCGGCGGCGGCGGCGGGGCCCGGCCAGGATGCGGGGCTCCCGGGACCGCGCGGGGAGGGGCGGGCGGCGGCGGCCGGCGGCGGGCGGGAGCTGTCCGCGGTGCTGAAGCGGCGGCGGCTCAGGGACGCGGGGCCGGGAGCAGGGGAGCCCTCCTGGGAGTTCCACCGCGACCGCGAGGCAGGGGAGCCGTCGTTCACCGGCCCATGCCGAGCCCCCGAGCCCCGCGGAGGAGGCGGGACCGTCCGCGGCGGGACAGGTAAGGGGCGGTCTGGGGGCGCCGCGGGAGCGCAGAGCTAGGCGCGGAGTCGGGAGTGAGCTTGGGAGGGCACGGGAGCCCTCTCGGGGCTGGGGGCTCTGACTTCCTGCTTGGCCGGACCTTGCGCTCCTCCAAGGCTTGCACTTCGTCCCTCCCTACCCCTCACCCTGCAGGCTGGGGGTGCTGGAGGGGGCTCAGGAACTGGGGTCAAGACACCACAACCTCGAAACACCAGGCCTTGACCCTGACCTCAGGCAGCTCCTAGACATCCTGCCTACTGACGGCAAGAAATACTGATTAGAGCCTCAGACTCCCGGGTACCCCAATCCCTACCAAGGTTTTGCGACACTAGCAAAATCTGAGCAGGCTTCACTAAGCTCCCCTCTTCTCGCACCCAAACCTGTTCACAGGGGTGACGGAGGTGGCTGTAGTACCCCCTGCTCTGAGATTTCTCTGCCCTGGAGATGGCTCTTGGGCCAAGGGATGGGCTCTTGGGCCGAGGCCCCTTAGGATGTGCATTAACCCATTTCTTCAGGGAAGGAAGGAGGTCCTGGAAGATACCTCTTTTTTTTTTTTTTTTTTCCTATGACACTCTTGATGCTCACAGAAGCAGGCAGGATTTGCATCACATCTCTTGGCGCATGAAGGCAAAGAGTCAGGGAACCTGGGTCCTGTTTTCTATTATGTGCTGGTGACCCTAGACAGAGCCTCCATTTGGAGTTCTCTCTCTTTCTGGCAAGAGTGCACTGAATGAGCTCATTCAGGCCTGCAAAGTGCTTCTAGTTCTTCAGAGCAGAGTTCTCTATGACTGGCAGAATGTAGCGATCAAAATAAAACTGCGTGAAGGAAGACTTGGCCTATCCTTGTGGCTGACCGCTTCTTTCTACTGCTTTATCCCCACCCTCCAACCCAACCCAACTTCCCCACTCCCAGAAGTAGAAAAAGCACTAGAGTAGGAGTTCCTGGCTGGGTGCTGGCATTTACTGGCTTTAGCTAGTTCCCTAAGCTCTCTCAACCTCATCCTCCTCACCCCTAGAGTGGGGATAAGGTCAATGCTCTGCCCACCTCAGGGAACTGCCTTGGGATCCAATGAAAAACAATGCACCTGATTGGAGGCTTGCCACCTGTACATCTCCATACCAGTGTGAGCTACTGTCACTGTTCCTAACCCCTAACCAGGCCTGCTGGCAGTGACCTGATTATTATCATCCCTACTCCCTCTTCTCCCAGCGTGGCCATGTCTCTCCCTTTGTCCTTGGCCACCCTGGGGTCTCAGAATCAGTGAAGCCAAACTTATAAATCTTAAGGAGAAAAAAGTGTGTCCTCTCTTCTTCTCCTCTTCCATCATCACCTATAGGAGATAATATAAGGTGAGAGTCTGACTCACAGGTTTTTATATTTTCTCCCTAAGAACCACAGATCTAAGGAAACAGCTCCCTGAAGGCAGGAATTGTGTTGTTTTCATCTCTTTGCCTCCCTTCATGACCCCCTTCTCAACAACACCTGGAAGATAGTAAGGACTCGGTAATCGGGTGTAAAATGAGGGAATGAAAAGTTAAAATGTATCAGAATAAAAGCATTTAACCAGGAGTCAGAAGCCCTGTGTTCTGGTCACAGATCTGCCACTGTCTCAGGCAGGTCCATTCCCCTCTGGGGGTTCATTTTTCTCATCTGTAAAAGAAGAGAGTTGGGCTAGATGAGTTAAGATTTCAAGCCCTGATATTCTGTAGGGCTTTCTTGAGGCCCATAAACCCCTCAGTTCTGCTTGAATACAGGATGCCAGCTTTATCAACCTGGTTTGACAACTAAGTTAATGACCTTTTAGTAATGAACTGGATTTTATGAATGGAGTGAAAGTGAGCAATAGGAACCAGAAAAAGCCATTTATATTTCTGATGTTTTCTTAAGAACCCCCTCCCTTTCTTATTTCTCTGGGAAAGCCATGAATATGACTCAGAGTGACTGAACTGAGAGGGGCTCCTGCCTCCAAGCCCAAAGACCAGGAACCACCACCCCATCATCCCTGCCACCACCACCACCACCATCTCTTGTGAGTAACAAAGGGCCAGGGACCCCACCCTTGGCCATCTCCTACCAGGGACCCTGCCTGGCTGTGATCTCCCTCCTAGGAAGACCAGAGGAGGGGACAGGCAGGAAAGATCCATCCCTACAGAGAATTTGTGTGTGAGATATATATATATATAGAGAGAGAGAGAGAGAGAGAGAGAGAGAGAGAGAGAGATAGAGATAGAGATAGAGATAGAGATAGAGATAGAGATATAGATATATACACACACACAAACAAAGTGAGTTTCTCTGATAATAATTCCCCTCAACTGTGGCAGACCCAGCCAATGCTCAGAAAAACCTTAGCTAATTCACATTTCAGTAGAGCTGAGTAAGCCATGCCAGTGACCTCGCCGAATTACACTGTGAGTGCCCAGCCAGGGTGGGGGACCAGTCTTCCCCTCCTCACGTCATTGCTTTCTGGCTCCCAGCTGTTGGTGCAGCACTGGCAAAAATCAGCTCTCTGGAGTTAATGGACAGTCACTAACCCTCATAACAAAGTGGCGGCAGCAGCAGCAGCAACAGCAAGCTAGCGAGGTGCTTTCTTTTCTGCAAGGCTGGTCTGCAGGGGAGCTGGCCTGCTACTGGGGTGAGGACAATACACTAGCCTTCCTTCTGCAGCTGTTTGGGTGGACACCCCACTCCCAGAGCTGTCAGGGTGCAGGGCATCTCTGGTCACCCAGGCAGATGACATCTGGCTCCTCTCCTGACCAGGGAAAACTACCCATTGGCTGCTTCCTGTGTTCCCCTCTTGTTCCCTCCTTGCTGAGGCTTTTATTCTGGGCCCTTCTACAAGGCCTCAAAGGGAAGAAAGGAGTCAACCCTGGCACGTCGCTCATGATTGGGTAATCTTAGGGGCAGGGATTGGGGGGAGCTGAGAAAGAGGAAGAATAAATGCAACATGGTCATTAAGAAATTGTGTGGCCAGGAGCAGTGGCTCACGTCTGTAATCCTAGCACTTTAGGAGGCCAAGGCGGGCAGATCACTTGAGGTCAGGAGTTCGAGACCAGCCTGGCCAACATGGCGAAACCCCATGTCTACTAAAAATACAAAAAGTAGCCAGGCATGTAATTCCAGCTACTTGGGAGGCTGAAGCACGAATTGCTTCAGCCTGGGAGGTGGAGGCTGCAGTGAGCCGAGATCGTGCCATTGCACTCCAGCCTGGGCGACAGAGGGAGACCCTGTCTTAAAAAAGAAAGAAAGGAAAAAAAAAAGAGAGAGAAATTGTGTGTGTGTGTGTATGTGTGAAGAGAGAGATTAAAACATTGAAATACACACATGCAGGTCCCTTCCCCTGTGTGATGCACACAAAATGGCAGAGGCAGAGAATATTGAGAGATATCTGCACATCACTGGTTACCTTCAAGTCCAAAAGCCAATTCATCTGTGAATCCTAGAGGGGCTTCCAGTTCCAAAGTACACCGGGGAGACAGAAGCAGGAGGAACAGCCTTCAGCCTGGGAGAAGGAACATCCCAGTTCTTTAAACCTTCTGCGTTTTCCAACCCTTTTCCCTTCTCCGGGACTCAGCTGGCATCCCGTATGGGGCAAGGTCCACTCTGCTGCAAGCCAGGGGACACTAAAGACTGATCTTCACCCCCGCCCTTTATATCAAGCCCTCATTTCTCTTACCTCTCCTCTTATTCTGTCTTCTCCTTCCTCCCTGCAGCTGCTCCCACCCCCATCACCCAGCAAGCAAACCAAGCAGGGAGTGGGGCCGGATGCTGAAACTCTCCATTAGGTGTGTTATCTTCCGCCATTAGATGTGCTGTTTGCTTCTAAGTGGTTGGGAATGAGCTGCTTCAGCAGAGAGACAGGTTGTTTCAGTAAGAAAAAAGATTTGATTTCCACCTGAAAATGGACTAATTTGAGTAGCGGAGCCACCATGCCAATCCTGTCAGCAATTTTCACCCTTGTCAGCCACAAGCCCATCTCCCAGGCAGGTGGATTATGCTTTAAAGGAGAGGCCAGTCTGGCCCATAGGAGCCCAGGGTGGCAGGGGGTGGAAGGGGGGCAATCGATTCTCCCTGGAAGACAGTGACTAAGAAACCTCCCATGGGAGCCAAGAAGTGTTCCACCTGTATAATCTGTCTTTCCTGAGTTCCCCCATCAGCTTTCTCCTCTCCTTTTCTGTTCTCTCTTCTGCCCTTCTCTTCTCTCTCTCCAAAGGTCCTTCCATGATTCTCAAATCTCTTTCTGGCCCTGAACACTACCTAGAGCTTTGACTCCATACATCCAGCTGCCAGGCAGAGTTTCTACTCTTTAACACACTTTAAAACAAAACTGGTTCACTTCTCCCCATCCTGCTCTTCTGTGTGTCTGTTTGTGTGCCTCATTTTTCCAGCTTGGTACTTAGTGGGCCTTTTAAACTAAATATTCATTTTTTTTTTGAGTTCATGAAACACTTGATGCTTCTGCTTCTTTAATTATTATTTTTCTCCTCCACTTCTGTTGTGTCTTTCTGAAACTCCTATTAGAATGATGTTGGACCTCCTGGGACTCTCCTTCATGTCCCTTACCTTTCTTTTACCTTTTCCATCTTTCTGTCTTTTTGCTCTATGTCTTAGATAATGTTATTAACTTTTTTTTTTAACATTGAAAGGTCTTCTAACTTTATCTATGCTTATTCTATTATCCAGTCTTTTCATTGAATTTTTGAAAATTTCAGCGATTATTTTTAATTTCCAAAATGCTCATGTTCTTGAATTGCTCCTTTTTCATAGTAACCTGTTATTCTTTCATAGATGCAGTGTTCTCTTACATCTGCCTGAGGATATGAATTCAAAAAAATTTTTTTCAAAGTTTTTTTCTGTAACTTGAATGATTTGGGATCTTATTGGGTTATTTGTTGTATTTGTTTATTTAATCCTTCTCTTTTATTTTCCTGTAGTTGTTTTTTATTATCTTTTGTTGTCCATTTATACTTAGGAATGAA